ACCCCATGCTGGAGTTGCAGCGCTGGAGAGCCTTCTCAGAATCACCCTGTACTTCATGCTGGGTTTGTCTGTGTCCCACCACCCTGCTGCCACATGCCTGCATTTCATGCCCCTTGTCTTCCGTGTGTGTCCTTGCCACCATTTGAGCCCTCTGAGCAGTACTTGGCCCACGGGAACATTACCTGGGGGCTTTAGCATGAAGTATGCTGCAGACACACCAGCATAGCATGTGAAGGGACGGCCGTAATCTTCCATTTTCACTTCTAAAAAGGTTATGCCAACTGTGTAAACAGCATGTTCCTTAAAAGCAACGTGGGTTCTGTGAAAGAGGAGTCGATCATTAGTACCTGAGTCATATCTTCCCCGATGTGTTTCATGACCCCTCGTCTGGAGAACCAGGTTCTTTCCTAGAGACACTCCAGCCGCTGTGCACCTACAAATACTCCCCGAGTAGTTCAGTGAGGTGTGTGCATGGTGTAGTTCTAAACTTGCATTCTCTTGGAGACAGTGTGACAAGGAAGTGTGGTTCTGTTCACTGTAGACTCCCATCTTCCCCCCTAAAGGACTTCCCCTCTCCCTCTCCACTTACCCTAACTTATCTACACTGCAAGGCCCAACACACGTCCCTGCCTTCTGACCTCATGAGTCTTGTTCCACATCATGCGATTCATACCATCGTAAATGGGGCTCATGCCCTCAGTCAGCTAATGACCATGCACTGCTCCCCAAGGGTCCCTGTATTGCCACGTGTTTCCTGCTTAAGGCTGAAGGCCTCTGGTCCATCACGTGCCTGGGAATGAGACTGGTTTTCAGTAGCAGCTGACAGAAATGGATCTCATTCCAGCAGGCCACGCCTCCCGTCCACCTCATCTGGAACGAGGGCGCAGGAGAGTGACAATCTTTGAAGTTGCTCGCCCACACATAGCACTGAGATCTTCGAGAGACAAAGCAAAAGGAGCGACGAGAAGGCAGGAACCTCCTCAGGCAGCAGTACTAACCCAATCACTGAACTGGAGAAAGTGTCGCTGGCTCGCAGAGAAGCCAGGACAACAAAACACCTACTCGTTTCCTTCTTGGACCCGCTTGGACTCTTGGTAGTACACATCCACCCAAGTGTTGCCGACCCTCCAGATGCGCAGGTTGGTGTTGTCCCTCGAGTCTGTGATGTTGCAGTTCACAGTAAGGGTGGAGCCTGAAACCGCAGTCACAAACACTCCATAAAAATTCTACCCTAAGTGATCTGCTTAACAAATACGCCCTGTTTTTGAGCCTTGACTACCTTCTCATCACCAAAAACACACTCCTGTGGTCAGTGCTGATCTGCTTTACTGGGCAGAGGTCACAAGGGACACGGGAGCTTGTGTCTTCACTGTTTTTCATCTATAGAGCCATCTATATTTTTTATGCTAGTCTAATTTTTTTATCTTTTGTGACTTCTTCCACTGATTTTATTTTCGAAAGTACATCATTTTGGCATTAGATTAAAAAAAATTGTCTTTATTTTTTAATGTCACTTCTGTGGTTTATAAACTAGTGGCCTGGTGCATGGATTCATGCACATTGAAAAGAAATTAATTAGAAGAAATATTTTAATATTGCTACTCGCCCTTTCTCTATAATAGAAGTGTCAGAGATTAAAGAAAATTTGTAAAATCTATATGAAAATGATATATAAATTGATTAATAAATAAACAATAACAACATGATATAACAACAACAAAGACATGATCTAAAAACAACAAAAACATGATATAAAAACAATGACTGATAAAGTGATTAAACTTCTTCTAATATCTCCCTGTACACCACATTAAGAGTAAAAACACTTTCAGAGTGCTTGACTAATTTCCCTTGTGATGAAGTATTTACAACTTTAACTTTAACATCACATGCTCTTCGAATTCAAGAGAAAGCAATATATAACTGACCATGTCTGAAAATAGGTTCAGGTAGGAATATTCCTACTCTGTCTAAAGTTTCTCCTGTGATTTATTAATAGTCATCACAAATGCTAGCATCATGGAAAACTGTCTTCGAATTGATTTAAATGGGAGGCCAGTATCAGACTGGGACAAATATCACGCATGCGCAAGTCAACATTTATTTTTAAACTAGAGGCCCGATGCCCGAAATTCATGCAAGGGGCTTGGGCCTTGCAGCCACGGAGGCTTGCCTCAGCCCTTGCAGCCCTGGCTTCGTCCGGAAGGTTGTCAGGAAGGATGTCCAGCTGTCCGGTCTAATTAGCATATTACACTTCTATTATTATAGATTGCCAGTGTGCATCTTATGTACCAGCCGGTCAGTCGGTCGGACGGATGGTCAGTTACTTAGCCTTTTATATATATAGATATTTCTTTAATTCATCAAAAATATATTTTTGTGTCTGTTATAAGATAAAGAATAAACTACATAGTCTTCAAATTTAACAAGTTATATTAACTTCACATATATACTATATTTCTCTTTCCCTACACATTTTTAAATGCCCCAAATCTGTTTTACTAAATTCCTATATATTCCAGCATCTGCTTATTGTTTTATGTTACTTTAACCTATTTGTATGCTAATATCAATATGTATTTATTATAACTTTATAATATACTTTAATATATAGTAAATTTCTTCTATTCAATTATTTCTTTGCTGACTCTCGCCAGCATTTTTTGACCTGACTTTAGAAAAGCTTTGTCAAGTTTCAGGACATTCAGTGGCATTTAATTGGTGAGATATTAAACATGTACATTAATCTGAGAGAAATAACCTACTTCTGATACTGAGTGTCCCATTTGGAAACATGCTAAGGAATCACAAAGACTTGTCTTTTTTAATGTCCTTGCTTAAATGTTGCAAATTTTTTTTTTTAATGTAGGCAGGTCTTTCAAATTTCCTGTTCTTTTTATTTCTTAATATTTTGCTATTTTGTTGCAATTTTGAATGCCATTTCTCTAATTACATAATATATGATTATTTCAGGCATATAAAAATGCTATTAGCTTTGAAAGTTTATTTTATATTGGAATTCCTTACAGAAGAATTGCTAGTTATCATAGTTTTTTTAGAGAATTTTCTTATAATTTCCAAGTAGATATCCATAGGTCATTTAAAATAATTATATGTTTACCCCCTTCCTCTTTCAGAGCAGTTTACATCTCTTTTCTCTTTAGTGTCTAAACACTTTGGCTAGAATTTTCAAAGACAAGAAGTGGGGGAAAGTTAATTAAGAGAGTCAATAACAGATATACTCATCTTTTTCTGGGTGTTTGTGAAATCCACTGGCGAAGTCACATGGTGGTATGAAGACAAATATCCTGTTATGAGCTTTATTATTTTCCTTGGAAGTTTTCAAGACCTTTATTAAAATACTTATTAGGACCAACGTCTTTTTAAAAGATTTATCTCCTTTCCACTTATTGCTTGAAAAGCTTTCTCATTTC